TAAAGCCTACAAAAACTACAAAACAATGTGAGCTGCTGCTTTTATCCAGTGTTAAAGACCCGTCTAATTTATGAGTGAAAGGCATCAATGGGCATGTCTGTAGGAACAGCTTTAAGTTGACACAGTTAACATACTTAGGAGGACAACTCTGCAAAAGGTCACTTCTTGTCATGGCCAAAAGCTGGTACTTCATGATGCGGTTCCTTATAACAACTATTTTAATGTGTATGTGGTCAAATATTTTGACACTTTTGGTTTGCAGAGTTTACCAGTTTATATATGTCACACCATGTGTGCTGCCACCTTATGAGCTAAAAGTCGAGTAACTCCTCCTTTACATTCTTTCTTCTGTTTGAAATGTGGCAACCTGAATTTATTTTAGACAAGCGGAGCTGTCACAGGGTGCTGTTTGAGTATGAAACATTTCTCTCAGAGATGTGCATGTTTAGGTTTATTCAAGTCTGAGATTTAAGCAACCCCTTTTAAGCTGTCCAAGCAGCTTTTTCTCAGCCTGTTATTTGTTAGTTTTAAATGACTTTTTTGGCTTGCAAATCGTTTCGTTTCCAGACAAACCACTACAACTGGCTGAGGTAAGCTGCAAAGCTCATGTGTCACAAGACCACCTATTAGCCAATAAGAAAGAGACACAAACCCTGTGCAGCTGGGTTGTCATTTCCTGGATGTTAATTGTAGATGTACAAACAGAGATACTGCACATGTCGATTCTGTTTATGGGAAAGCTGTATCAATGTGGCCAACACACGCTCAGGAGTAGGTGGGCCTTTTAATGTGCATACTTAGAACTCTGACTTTTCAATTGATTTTCCCGTGGTTTGGTTTTTAGAGTGATGCTGCAAATGAGTTTATGTTGCAGGAGCCTTCGATTTTTTTCATTAAAAAAATGAAAAATGTGCATTTTACGTTGAGTCCAATGCTACAATATAACGCTTAAAATTAATATTTCAATTCTGAAGCTCTGCTGTAAAATGCAGAAAGTAAAGGTATTACTCCATCACTTGAACAACTTGTCCTGTCACTCTGAATTGACACGAGAACTGCAAATGAGTCATTTGGCTCAGAGTCTCTTCTCCTTAGCGCTACTGTCCATCACTGTCTTAATGTTATGGGAAGCTTCACATATATCTGAGCAACACTGGGCAGCTCTGTGTTTTTTTATAACTCAAATCCAAGCACATACTTAAGTTAACTGGTACTGCTTACTGACAGCGAAATAACAAACAGTGACATAGCTAACTGTGAAATATAAATTTCAGGCTCTTATTGATACTTCTTTCCCTTTTAGGGTCACCAGAGCGGCTCATTGGCCTCCATCTAACCCCAACTCTAATCTTGTCCATTCTGGTCACTCCCATTGAAAATCTTAACATCTTCAACTTAGCCTTTTGTCTTTCTGTTAGTGTCACAGTGTCCAAACCTTCCATCATAGCAGGTCTCACTACCATCTCTGTTTCACTCGTGTTACTATCCCTCTGTCACAAATTACCCTGACACTCTTCCTCACCCTGTCTGCACTCACTTCTTCACCTCTCTTGTGCAGTGTCTGTTGCTTTGGATGGTTGACCCCAGGTATTTAAACTCATCTACCTTCACCGTCCCTTCTCCTTGCATGTTCACAGCCATACCTGTTTCCTCTCAGTAACACATGTATTCTCTTTTGTTTCTTTATAACTTTCATTGCTCTTCTCTCCAGTGCATACCTCCCCCTCTCCAGGTTTTCGTCTCTCGCTACAGATCACAATGTCATCTACAAACATCATATTCCACAGAGATTCCTGCCTGACCACATCTGTCAGCCTGTCCATCACCACTGCACACAAGAAAAGAGCTGATGTCTGATCTAATCCCACTTCCACCAGTCAGTCCTAACGCACACCTCACCACTGTCTCACTTTCCTATACCACCCTCACATACCTCTCTGGCACTCCTGACTTCCTCATGCAGTGCCACAGTTCCTCTCTCTTGGCACACTATCAGATCCTGTCTCTAAACCCAAAAGGACACAGTGACCTTCTCTATACTTCTCCATGAACACTGAACAACCATATTGACAGCGCTCAGCATGAAGCCATAGTGCGGCTCACAGATTACCAAAGCTGCGACTGTTTGCAGAAAAGCTGATTCCTATCATGCGACCTGTGCAATCATCTTGCAATCAAAAGTGGTCCTGAGTGCTCTGGACAACCATTTAGTTACCACAAGTTGCAAAAAATTCAATACAACCATCAAGCAGCCTTGCTGAGCTAAGTGTATCCAGTGTTGGATGGTTTTTCGGTTGAGTGGATATAATGTAAGTTTGCTCGGATAACATTACCTCATGATGGCGGTCCATAAGATGAGCCCTCTTGTTCAGAGTATTTCCAGAGATAATAAAATATCAAGATTTGATGCCCCTGTATCCATACAACATCGCAACACTATCCTTAATTTTTCTCCCAGCTCTAGTATGTATGTATTGCAGGAAAGGCGTTTAACAGTCTGAGTATACAAAAACTGAAATGTAATAGTGTATAAGCCAGTAATCGTCTAATTACTCAATCTGAGAGTTAATGAAAATAAAGATAATCAGATGAGATGATTATCTTTGCTCGTCTCAATTTGATAACCCTGTCTTGATAACACTGATGTTAACTACATTGACATGATCTTATAAAGTTTAGGAAGAAAACTTCACACTTAAAGTTTAAATTGCTCGCCTGGTAGGTGAAGACTGGTCAGCTATACATACAACTATATACAAGAAGTGAAACAGTTTTCTGACGAAATGGGGATATGACAATATACACAGTCCTTGCATTAGGACTCGGGTTCATATGTTGATTAACGGGAGGTTGATTAAACACACTGAAACATATCCCACTACTTCAGTGAATACATCATGACAAAATATGGAACTGACACCATTGAGTCAGCACCGAAAAGCTTAAGGAGTAATATTCAGCTTTGTGACAGCTATGTGACGAGTAAGCTGCCCTCAGTACTTAATTCCACAACTAAGCGAGGAAGTGGGCCTAAAATTTAACCAGGGAATTCCAAATGGACACTTGTTTAAATGAACGGTACCACCAAACACCCAAAGCTACTAAAACTAAGCAACTCGATGCTGCAAACTAGCACCGACCAGAAGAAACTAATTAGCCCTACACCATTAACGTTACATTGGCACACAACTAATGGACGTTAACTATGTTCTTGTAGCCCATTAGCTTAGTTAGCTGTTAACATTTCCTAAAGGCATGAGTTAGTTCACCCTGCGGACTGAACAGCACGCCGTCAGTCAACGTTTGAGTGGCTGAATCAAAGCCAAGCACTCTCACCGAGAAGACTCCTCGGTGAAGCCGCCGTCCAGCAGCCTGACTTTACAGAAGAGGACACCGTTGACAAAGGGGACCGACGACAGCTCGTCCAGGTCAAAATCCACCTTGAACTTGAATTTCTTCTTTTTCATCATCATTAAATCCATACACCGCTTCAGTGCCTTTGAAAAGATGCTCCGGTGTCGCCCGTCGCTGACATTACTGCCCCATTGTTGTGAAGCACAGACAGAACCAGCTTGGTGTTTGTGGGAGGATGGTGAAGCTACTGGTGACAAAAGTCCGTCATCGGCTCAGAGTACTGGCAGAGCTATATCCTATCTTGATCTTTCAAAATAAAAGCGCGCGTTTCATGTGCACCATGGCTTGTCCTGAAAGAAGGAAGTGGCGTGAAAAAGTTCAAAGGTCTTCTTTGGATGTTGGCTACCTTTTGTTTTGTTCTCAGATAAAAATTATCCCAAGCTGATTAAATAATGTTGAGGCCTGGGCTTTGAGGAGGCCAATCCATGACGGGTAGTGCTTTTATAAAGTTGACCTTTTTAAAACTTTGTAAAACGTATTTGTTTATCAGATTTTGGGTCATTGGAAACAAAAATATAAATAAATAAGATTCAAGATTCAAGAAGTTTATTGTCATGTACACCGCAAAACACAAATCGTTAAGTAGAGCAATGGCATTCTTACTTTGCAGGTTCCCTTCACACGACTAAAAGAAAGCAATAATAAGTAAAACAGTAAAACAGTGCTTTGTAGATCTTGTAGCTTATATGTGGATGTATATGTGGATGTGTGTGTGTGTGTGCGATTCTGATTTTGATTCTGATGATCCGCGGGGATTTTAAAATTCAAATAAATGTGTTGCTTCAATTCCAAGACCTTTTTTTGTTTTTAAGAGCTAACACTTTATTTAAGCAATCCTCTTTTCTCATTCCCAGGAGCACACAAACATTTGCCTTTTTAAATATGTCAGCCTTTTCTCTGTTGCCGTTTTGTTTCTTGGTTATTTTACTTTGAAGCGATTGATGACTTAACCGGATGTGAAAGGATGACAGCTTTATTTTTGTTGCAAACCGAAGCCCGCCTCCTCTCTCGGCAGCACTGATTGGACAGATTACTACAAGAAAGCAAAACCAGCTGCTGTTTAGTTATTTGACGTTTGTCTCCATCTGGTGGTACAGCGTAGGAACTGTACAGCCAATAAACTCTGTTGCACAACTTGCACAATTTAACAGCATATGTGTTATTTTAGAAACTTTTCCCATCCCTAGTAGCGGTTAAAAAGCTGTTCCCAAGCAGGATGAGAGAAAAGGAAGGTCCAATTAAACATGAAGATGTACAATTTCTCTGAAAGATTTTAAACAAAATATGTCAAAGTGGCCTTGAAGAGCACCCCTCCCGTGCTTTGAGGCAATTACAAGCTTATGGGGTTAATTTTGCCCAGGGCAGCTGCCGGATTCTTTTGAGTATGACTCATCGGATAGACAAAGATAAGTTATACCGACTTTGTACTGCAGACCGATGGGTACAGGATGATGATCCTTGCACACTAGGCTACTGTACAGTCTGAACGCGTGCGTGCGTTCGCGTGGGGACGTTTCTACCACAGCAAACCAAGTAAAAACGCCTAAAGGTGGACAAGACTTGAGAGGATGAGAAAAAGCTATAGTTGACTTGTGAGGAAATGTTGAAATGCCGCCCATGAGTAATAGTAACAGAGCAGTGCGCGTGTGTTGTTGTTGAAGGGTGTGTCTCCGTGAGCGTGTGCGTGTGGGCACTAAAAAGAGGAGGTCTCCCAAGGCGAAGTCAACTGAGTCCCTCCACCGATCTGTACAGCGCTCCTACCTCATCCGCAAAAAGCTCTCTGTTGGCCAAATCTGCACATTATCGTGTGCCCGCTGGACTTTACGCCGACGCCGACCCATAAGGACTTTTCTATCACTTCCCCAGGCTACACCGCGGAAGTCCTAAAACCAGAAGCGCAAGCCACAGGAATCAGTTGCCACATCAGATTGCTTACCCAGTTTCTGTTAGTGTGTGCGTGCGTGTAGCTCTAAAGGCCTGCGACGTTTTCATTGATAGTTTTAAGATGTATCAGGTGGCGAGGAAGCTCTTTTTTACGGACTGTCGATGTGCTGACAATGCGTCGAAAGCATACGAAGAGCTGTTCGCCAAGCTGGACACTAACAAGGATGGAAAAGTGGATGTGTCCGAGCTGAAGGCAGGCCTGGATGCTATGGGCATCAAGGCTGAGAAAGGGGCAGCTCAGGTAGAGTAACGGCTCCAAACAGGAGTGCGCAGAAATCCCAAATACGGAGAGAAAACCACAACAAATATTTCTTGTAGCGGCAGCGTTAACCTTAAAAGAAGTGAAATTACAGCCGCCAGAGCAGCCAAGTGCACTCAGATTTACTTTTAGAAGGTTATTTATTTGTTTTCGTTACTGATCTTTATGATGACTGGGTTCTTATTTTTTGTGCGCATTACACTGACTTTTAACCAAATTTCCGATTTTCGCAGGCAAAGGTCTGTCTTTGAGAGGATGCACGTGGTACTAATTTTTTGACTGACAAAATAGTGCAATTATAACATAATCGTCTCATCAGTTGATTGTTACACCCCAGGTTATTTTGGACCTCTAGACACCTACTGTATCATGCTGCTGAGTGACTGCTGCTCGTCAAACACATTTCATTGCAATGTTGACCCTGTGCTAACTTGCATATGACAAATAAAACTGAAACTGAACTAAGATTTGCAGTTCAGCCAGAGATAAAAGCGAGAGCTGTGTAGTGCAGCCTCAGTAATATTTTCACAAGTTGGAAAAAGTAAAAGTTCTCTCGGCACCTCATCAGCAGAAGTTCAAATTCCCAGGAAGCTTTAGGAGTTTTTAAGGACTTGCTCTTGCTCTTAGAACTGAAGAAGCTTCTCAGATGAGAGGTGAAACATCTTCAAGAAACTTAAAAAAGTCCAGACGCTTTTCTTTCCAATCTCCTTAGAATACGATGACCTGGATGACTGAGAACCTTCACAGACATACTATTAAGTGCTTGTTTTTCAAGTTTATCCATGCCTAGTTGGGGTTAAAAGCATTTCTTAAGCCATCTAGATTCTAAATATTGTTGCACGCCCTTCCTTTCTTTGGTTATGCATCTTTGAGCAAGGCAATTAAGTCCATATACCTGCACAACAGGCTCCAAAAGATCTGACAGCAGTCTTGTCCTTAAACTAACACTAAACCTCTCCTCCACAGTCACAAACAGTCGCTTTTGTGTAGCTGCTGAAAATGCTCTTACTCTGAAAGTGCAGTATCTGTGAGAGGTTATTTCCATGTGCATGCTTTGTTGTCATGGCTTAAAAGTCTTTTCTTCAGTTTCTTGAAAACAGATTGAGTAGTGAAGACAAACTCTGAATTCTCTGGAATTGCACTCAGGACACCCAGGCGTCTGTAAAGAGCTGAAGGGATTGGAAAAAAAACTGCTCTAGAATTTTTAAAGCTGTCTCAATGGTGAACTTTTACTGTGGGTTGAGACTGTAAGTGGAAGGTCCCACCTTTACTAATCAAACAACTGCACATTCCCCGCACTCATAAGTCTGTCAGATGGCTTTAAAAGTTTGAGGCGGGTAAGGTAAGGAGAGGCCGCTGCTGTGTGTAACCAGGTGCTATAAAACAGTTTTATGTGTGCACTATTATCATAACTGTGTAATAAATGGGTAGTAAGGCAGATAACCTAATTTGGTCAGTGCCCTCATTCAGAGCAAAAATTAATCTGTCAAAACTGTAATGCTCTCCTCCTTTGTGCTCCCATACAAACATACTGACAGTTCTCAGTTGCTGGTTTACTTCTTAACAAAGAGCCAATGCTCATAACAGATTTGGTACCAGGCGATATTTTTGTTTCCATTAATTCGCTTCAGCCTGGAGAAACAATGGATTTTTTTTTTGTCTTGATCTTGGGACATCATTAACACTTGTGAAAGCAATGGCAGTAACTCGGGCAGACAGAGACACAGAGAGTGAGTTGAGATAAAGTAAAGGAGCATTTTGCTGCGTTATTCTGCCACCCACCGCCACAATCAGCCAGCTGCCGTTTGAGCAGGAGATGGAAGACTCCCCTTATGGCTCAGCAGAACCCAGACCTCTCCCTCCACCTTATGAGGAGGTCAAACACCCGGCTGCAGCAAACAAATGAGGTACGGCAACACGAAGCAGAATGATTGCTAATATTCTGTGTGTGTGTGTGTTTTTTTTCTTCCCCTTTAGAAAATCATTTCTTCTGGAGACAGAAACAAAGATGAGGGGCTCGACTTCAGCGAGTTCTCCAAGTACCTGAAAGAACATGAGAAGAAATTACAACTGACCTTCAAGAGCTTGGACAAAAATAAAGATGGTACGGTGCCATTTTATTATGTAGCACATTTTAATATTAAAAATGCACAAAAAGAGAAAAAGTACAAATAAATGCTTACTTTCTACAGGTCGTATAGACATTACGGAGATAAGGCAGTCACTTGCTGATCTGGGGCTGGAAATCAGCAAAGAGCATGCAGAGAAAATCCTTCAAAGGTATTTCAGCTTATTTATTTATTTTTTATAGCTGTTACTCCACAAGCAAACTGTGAACTTACAGCAGTGTCCCGAGCGAGACGAGAAAGAAAGCAGCCTGACGCGCCGCAAGTTAAAGGTGGGAACCCGTGTGAGCGACTGATAACTGGCTCAGTGTGTGGTTTGGCTGAAAAGAGGAGTGAGTGCACATGATAAAGAGCTGGCAAGATATTTTACACTCCCGACGCGGCGCATCGACACCAGAGAATAATATTTTCAAATCGCAAGTGCACGACTGGTCGCAGACTTTGAACCAAGCCACGTCTTGTCAGTCAGAATATGTTTATTGGTGTGTTTAATGTCATGCTGATACTCAAACTCACTACACATTTGGATGTAAAGAAAGAGTAACACATGGTTTTAACACACAGTAGCAGTTTAGTGAGAATGAAAGAACTACTGGTATTGATTACA